CACCTCGTCTGCAATTATAGGCCTCTTAGGCCCCAACACAGCTTGTTGGATCCAGGAGTTTACAATTTATGTTGCTGGGTGTGCGGGCCATGAGACTGCTACAAATTCTGGCCAACGGCAGGGATGTTATGCTGAAGAAGATTGAGCTGGACGGTTTGCAGGCTTGGGCTCAGTGGAGGAGCCTCATATGAGCGGCTGACAGTGATGAGAGCTGGAAATTTCCATCTCTGGGGATTGGCTGAGTGGCCCACAAGCTTTACCTGTAGCCTGGCGGTTATATCACAGAACTCACTAGAAACACAATGCTATATGCTAATGTTTTGTTTTGTTTCTTGTTTGCTTATTTTTTCTATTGTTTCTGTACCCTTATTGACCACCAGCAGCAGTTCAAGTTAATTGTGAGTACCCAGTGGTATGAACCTCTTGCTCCTTTCTATAGTTCAATACTAAGACATTTTTATCATTCTTTACCTGTCTGACATGATTGAGCTATGTTGCTGATGTATTTAATACCTAAAAATGTGCAACCTGCTCTAAGTTTGACCTTCGCTGAATATTGTTGATCTATTATTATGGAATGACTTATGTGAAGATAGTCATGATGTATCATGCACCTCAAAAAAAAAAGTCAGGGGAGGGAAAAAAAGGAGTGAAAAAAGGGAGACCAAAAAAGGGATGCACGGATAATGAAAAAAAATGGGAGAGTTGGGGAAATAACATCAACAGATATCCAAAAAGGCTACGGCTTTTAATGCACAAAATAATTAATCATTAAATTTACTGAAATATGCATAATGGGCTTTGTAAATAATAGAATTTTAAAAAAGGAAGAAAACCAATGGAGATGGTGGCATTAGCCGAGTATTGCAAATACAGCTAACAGAACTAAATAGTATCGTCAGCATTTACAACATATTATAAACTTTTATTTAAACACATTTTAACTAAGTATGAAGATCTAGAATTTAGTTTCTTTTCAATTTTTGTTTGAAAGAATTCTCTGCTAACCGTATCAAATAATATTTCTAAATTATCTTACCTTACACTGTTAGTATTGAGAGAGGAAGTGTTCCTCTCATGAACTATATTTATAGTAGGTGAAGCAATTACACTGATTAATAATGCATTTATCTCTTTCACTAAGTATCTAGGCCAACATATTTAGCATCTTTTTTCACAATTTATAAAGTACTTGTAATATTGTAGTTGTAATTTTCTAAAAAGGTGAGCTACGGGTCAGCATATTAACCACTCAAGAACCACATCTATTTTCATTCAAACTATAGTGCAGTTATTTCAGTGGTTCATAGTTTGTAACCTCAGTTTAGCTCCAGGAGATGAATGTCCCAATTAAACTGAAATTAATGAAAGTAGAACTCCTATATGAGAGAATGCTTACATGTGCATTAGAGCAAATAACATAATTTTGGGGTTCTGTAGACATAATTTCCCCATAATAAACTACAAGAAGGACTTTCTCGAGAACCTTGAGTGATACTAAAATCTAAATGTCCATCCATCATTGTATCATACAAGGATGAATCAATGCCTTTTTGTGTACAGGTTCTAACCTAAAAATAACAGGACCTGTTCTGGGCACTAATCAAACAGACAAATAAATGTAAGAGTAGTAAGTCAGCTACGTAGTAAGTATAGGGTTGGGTGAAGTATGGTGATATCCGGATGTAGGCAAGCCACTGTAAAAAGGTCACTCAAACCTTAAAACATATAATAGAAACAAAAAAAAATACAGGGCGCCAGAAACACCAGATAAATAAACGAGGATAATAATGGAGAATAAGGATAATGCTGTTTATTAATGATATGCACCAACACTGTGCAAATATTAAAAGTATCAACATAGTAAAGTTGCCAGCAATCTAAAGTTTCATGGCTATTGAAGTGCTATAAGTAGCAGTGGTGGGTGTACCTTCACTACAGAATGTAAACAGAAACTGCTAATACCAAAGTAGAAGGGTCTTCAATGCTGCTCTTGAGCAGCATTGAAGACCCTTCTACTTTGGTATTAGCAGTTTCTGTTTTGCATGATTTCTGCCTATGTGACTAGTTGTGGACATTGTTGAGTTTTACCAGCTTGGAGTGGTGGGAGTTGCACTCTGCCACTTTATCTCACTGTCTGCACTTTAGCTATTAGCACTTTTTCATGTTATGTAGAGCTGCTATACCTATGGGTCTTTAGCCTATTTAGGCTTTTTATGTTGATATATATTTTATATATTTGCACAGTGTTGGTGCATATCATTTAATAAACAGCATTATCCTTATTCATTCCATTATTATCCTCGTTTATTTATCTGGTGTTTCTGGCGCCCTGTATTTTTTTTGTTTCTACGTAGTAAGTATACCCTATAAGAATAGTTGACTTCAGTCTATAAGGTTTGTGACAAAAGCACATGAAATCTTGAATGATATCGTTTTGTGTACATGACTGGGAAACAGTGGCGTTCCTTAAAGGACCATTATACTCATTTTTCCTGACACTATAGTGCCCTGAGGGTGCCCCCACCCTCAGGTTCCCACTCCCGTGGCACTGAAGGGGGAGGAAGGGGTTAACCCCTTACCTTTTTTCCAGCGCCATGCTCCCTCGGCACTGGGACTCTCCTCCCTCTTCTGACGTCCCTCACAATGAGACAGCCACTAGAGGCTGGATTAACCTCAAAAACCTAGCTGGACCTGGCACCCAGACCACTTTATTAAGCTGAAGTGGTCTGGGTGCCCATAGTGGTCCTTTAATTAATTCAGACACAAGTAACACACTTAATCCTTGAGCTATATATGGGTACTGAAAGTTTACAAGTATTAATGTTTAGCATTTTTTTTTTTTAAAGAACAATAATCTAACCATAGTTCCTCTCCAACTACCTTTACATTAGGATGTAGGATTTTAGTATCAGATAGAAACATTTTGCTATTGCAGTAAAGTAATGTGACTCTTTGTGTATCCAAAATATATCTCATTAATAAATTGTTAAGAAAATTGTATACAATTTTAAATATCAATTTATATTGAATCTGCTGCATCCAGGGTAAATTGTTTTACATTTAATGTAAAATGTAAAAAAAACCAAAAAAACTGTTTTACTTGAGATGATCAATTTAAACTTTTTTTTTACAATTAACAGATTCTTAGAAAATTATATCTTGAAGAACATGAACTTGCACTTAATATGTCAACAATAACAGGATGTTTATGAAGACCATTTGACACTAAAGCTCATATATATGATTTAATACATGATTATAATTCTGTCACATATTAGTCCATGACCCAGCAATGCACAGCAGTGTCTTTAAAGCTGTTTCTCTGTCTCTATGGAGATGGGTTAATTTTCTGCTGCAGTGCTTGAAACTGGGTGGTGATGTTGTAACACCTGATGTAATTGATGTAGCTTCCTGCAAAAGACAAATACAGGATTTATTATACAGTTTCATTTTTACAACAGTTCCTCAATATCCAAAGTTTCACATTCAGTCTCTCAAGTTCACATTGAGAGAGATAGAGAGAATGTATTGATGGTAACATGAAAAAAAACAGTAACTGTTTGTTGGACATAATACAATAAGTGGATCATATAGGAACTGTTAAAATTGTAAATTATATACAGCCAGTCTTCAGTTCCCTTATAGCTTCAACTAGCTATAAGGGAACTGAAGATTGTGATCCTACAAACAGTTATTGTTATTTTATATCCCACAAACCGCTATTGTTACTTGTCATGTTACCATCAATACATTCACTCTCTCAATATGAGCTTGAGAGAGTGAATGTGAGGCTTGGATATTGGCAGTCATGGTTGAATTCCTCACGTAGAACTGAAAATTAGTTTTTGTGTTATTAGGATTTTTTTTGTTAAATCAGACAAAGCAAACATTGTTAGAGATGTCATATGCAGTGAATACATTTAACTTAGATCAACTTATTAGTAAGTAAACCTATTCACTCATGCATAATAAGTAATCAAAAATGGAGTAATGCAAATAAATCCTTCAACTGGACTCCCATTTGCTCTTTTTTCTTTTGGTGAGGTTGAGCCGGAGAGTAGAAACAACTGAACATCAACTATGGAGTAAAAACATTGCAACAGAAACTGCAAGAACCCATAGAAACCTTTTCATTCGGACAAGAAAACAGAAAAACTCATGACAATAGACTGTAATAGGCTAGTTGTCACAACAACACAAAACAGTCATAAAACTACTCCATAGGACCACATCGGAGATCGGGAGAGTGTACAAGATGGTGCAGGGGTGCCAGAAGTGGTTTCCATGGTGGGCTCAAACACCAGATCAAACTCCAAGGTGAAGGGGATCTTGGTACATTTTGCTTGCAGTTTGTTTCTGACCTCTTACTTCAGGGGATGGCAGAGCCAATAATGCAGGAACTCTGTGATGTTAGCTGCTGGTGTCCACTCCAATGAGCAAGGATGCCTAGTGATACTAGGGTCAAAAAAAGGATTTCCCACCATATCCAAAAGCTGTACTAGACCATCAGATGGCAAGCTTGAAGCTGGAGTACGTCCAGAGTGCGGATTACCCACTACCGTCTCACCTGAAGGCAGCAGCAAAGAAAGAGGAAATGGAAATGTCCAGTTAAGGATCTTACTGGCCTTACCCTTTTTCTGATTGGCTGTTTTTTTCCCAACTGTGTTAATAGTGTCTTTGCTGCTGGAGGTGTCAGTAAGGAAGGTATAAGTAAATATGAAGCCTCTTGTCTTGCTGTAAAAATGAAATATAACATTTATTTATAGAGGATATAGTAAAAATCAAAGAAGAAGGACCTGCTATGAATTGACATTAGAACCCTAGGAGTGTAAATCAATTCATAATGGGGCGCGGGGCTAGCACGCAGACAAAGCCGGACGCCATTTTCTAAAGCTCCTGTAAACGACCGTGTAATCCACTAATTATCTTCACACCTGAGGGCCATCCAGCCTCCAAACCCTCCAAATCAGTCTCTGTGACCCAAGCCGCATCCATCGATGCCCTTTGTGCAGCCGCAGAAACAACTCAAGCGGCGCCGGAAAATCGAGGCCTTCCACCCGCTACGGATCCCCAGCCTCGAGTCGTTCCTCTGCGGGGACTTTGAGGCAGGGCCAAGGAGGACCTCCTACTACAGCCAACCGGCCACTCAGAAAATGGGCCGCAAATCGCAAAGGCCCGCCACCGAGTCGGACACCAGAGACATTGGGGCGATGTTGCAGAAACCCAGACAAACACCGTCCGGAGACCGGCGGGAAGAGGCATCTGTACCTCACAGCCCCAGACAGCACTTACCGCACCAGCGGACCCCACAGGGGACTCAGCCCCAACTACCAGGGGAGATCCAAAGGCTCTCTTGGCCGATATCCATAAGCTACTGGCAGCGGATTCGGCCATATTCAAAACACAATTACAAGCCGTAACAGAAAGAGTTAAAGCCACAGAAGAGTGCATGGTGGACACTTAATCTACTATACAGGCCATGCAGAACTCTATCCAATCGCAAACTCACCAAAGCGTCTTAACCGCCAAAATCACCAATATGGAGCATGGGCAACGCCGCACAAATATTAAAATTAGGGGCATACCGGCAGCAGTGACAAAATACATATTATGATGGCTTTGAAGGTCAAAAACCCCTCTCTTATTCAAAAACTTTTTCCAGGATCTTACAAAAGAGACAATGATGTGGAAGAAAGCCTACACACTGGTTACCTCCCAACTACGCAAGGCAGGACTACACTACAGATGGGGGATGGACAATTCCTTAACTATCACGAAAAATGACACTACTCATGTCCTCCACACCATGGCAGATGCAACCCCCTTTCTGGAAAATTGGGACTACCACACCACCAAATGAGACAGAGACCCAACCACAAGACAAACTCCCAGCCCACACGGGGAACACACAATATTTTACAGACAGATGCTTGTCACGCAACCCAGTTCCACGCCCCACACATGGGACTAACAAAGTGACAAAATGTTGTTCCTAGCTACAGGGCTCTCGTCTACCCGTTAACCTAACCCTCAGCATACTAGCGCTGTACATTTTTGTGCCATGTTGAAGAAAATGTAAAAATGTGCATACTACGAGACATGTCTGAGAAATACATTCTGTACTGCCTGACAACCTACAACTGTCTATGTTCATGCTATATCACCCATGCACATCTAAACTAAAGAATAAAAAAAAAAATCAATTCATAATGAATAAATAATCAAAAATATTAAATTATCTATTTGAGCAAATTCATAGGTAAGCATGTAAGCCCAATAATCAGGGGTAAAAAAAGCTTTCCCCCCTTTAAATCAAGAAGTTTGTTGTGTTGTGCTGATATAAAAATCTATCTACTAAATGACATAAATCAGCAGACACCCCTAATCAGACCATAATTCATAAGTATGTAGAGACATAGAGGTGTAAAATTCAGATTGTGTGAATGAAAATAGAAATAGCTTGGATAAGAGAAAAGATATCCTGAGTACGTATCTGCCCTGTAAATCTTTGGATGATGTAGTTCTTTGGATTGAGCCTTTAATACAATTAACGATCTCTTTCAGGTATGCAATCACGGTATTACTGATTAAATGGTGCCATGCCAATCATACTAAGCGATATATTTACAAGATGATTGGTTCCCCAATCAGCTCATTTCATGGGCTTTTGAATGCATCTCTTTTCAATTTGTGGCTGACCTCCTGATGAGAATATGTTGTCGTTTTAGAAAAAAAAAAAATATAAAAAATTATCAATATCATAAAACTGTAAGATTTTTTAAAATGCACTAATACTCTATAATGTGCCGTGTACTTCAATATTACATTGTTATTGTATTAATATACCATTATCTGCCATGCACTTAATTACAATTTCCTTTTTTTTTTGCATATTGTGTACCACAACTCCACGATTCTAGAAAAAACACTGAAAACTTGACTGCACTTATTCCGTACAAAAACTTTTAAGTCAATAACTTTTTTCTGGATTGCAAAATGTCAGATGTATAACTGCAATTTCTTTGGACACTTGCATCAACATTTCATGCAAATTATGTGAATTACTTGTCATTACACAAATGCACTCCACTGACTTTTTCCTATAAAACATTGCAAAAGTTGAGTAAAGCCCAAACTTCTGACAGTTCCCAGGCCTCTCTGATGCCTCCATAAAAATGCCCACCAGGGACAGATTTGCCACAAGGCCACCAGCATTCAGGAGAAGAGTTGCATAGCCATTGGGATGATCAGAGGCATACATAGTATTAGGTATACTAATTAGGTATAGTATTACTTTAGTATTATATAGTATTAATTAGTATACTAATTAGGGATAGTATTACTTTGCTGCAGAGGGATTTAGATAGACTGGGGGACTGAGCACTCAGATGGCAGATGAAACTTAATGTAGAAAAATGCAAAGTTATGCACTTCGGCATCATAAATGCACAAACAACTTATACCCATAATGGAAGTGAATTAGAGATAACCATAGAGGAGAACTTGGGAATTGTTATAGACAACAAACTATGCAACAATGTGCAATGTCAATCAGCAGTGGCTAAAGCCAGTAAGGTATTGTCATGCATGAAAAAGGGCATTAATTCTCAAGATGAGAATATCATTTTGCCTCTTTATAAATTGCTTGTAAGACCACATCTTGAATATGCTGTGTAATTTGGGCACTAGAAAGAGTGCAGAGGCAGGCTACAAAATTAATAAAAGGAATGGAACATTTTAGCTATGAAGAAAGTTAACAAATTTAAACCTCTTTAGTTTAGAAAAACGTCGCCTCAGCGGGCATATGATAAAATTATACAAATATATCTGTGGCCAACACAAACCAATGTGTGGAAATCTATTCACAAACATGACTTTAGATAGGACACAATGTCATGTGTTTAGATTGGAAGGAATACGATTTAGTCTAAGGCAAAGGAGAGAGTTTTTTACTGTAAGAACAATAAGGATATGGCATTCTAATCCTGAAGAAGTGGTTTTATCAGAGTCCGTACAGATGTTTAAACAGCAACTAGATGCATACTTGCAAAAACAGAATATTTAAGGATATACTTTTTTAATGTAGGGTAAATTATTTTTGATCCAAGGATTAATCTAACAGCCATTCTTGGGTCAAGAGGTATTTTTTTCCCGAGTTTGTTGCAAATTTGGAAGGGCTTCAAACTGGTTTTTTTTTTGCCTCTGTTTGGATCAACAGCAAAAAACAAATGTGAGAAAGGCTGAACATGATGGGTACATGTTTTACGTTTGGAAGTGCTTCAAACTGTTTTTTTTTTTTGCCTTTGTATGGATCAACAGCAAAAAACAAATGTGAGGAAGGCTGAACTTTATGGACACATGTCTCTTTTCAGCCTATGGTAACTATGTAACTATGTAATTTGGTATATATTCTGTGGCACATTGATTGGTAATTTTTGCACCTTTTTGGTTTCTCTAATTTGGTTACTAATAGACTTTTGCAATTTGTTTCATCCCGAATGTAACTTTGGATGAATTTCATGAAATTCGGACATTGGGATGCTTACGAATGATAGAAGTTCGAATTGCCGAGTTTCCGAATTGCTGAATTTCCGAAGTGCCGAACCGAACCGAATTGCTGAAGTTAGGTTTAGAGGTTAGGGGTTAGGTTCAGGGGTTAGGTTAGGGTTTAGGGTTATGGTCTGAATGACCGAAGTTCCGAATTGCCAAAGTTCTGAAGTGCCGAACCGAAAGTCATTGGTCAGAATTGTCGAAGCAGACATTTTTTTACCTACCCGAATTTCCGAACTGGACCACATTTTTTGGCCTATGCACATTCCTAGGTACCAAATCAGTTTTTTTTGGTAGTAAAATTATAGCATCCGAACAACTGAACAAACAAAAAGCTGAAATTCAGCTTCACAAAAAAACTATTTTTTTGTAAAAATAGGCTCAACTAACATGAATCTTCTCACCATGCTCTAAATGCCTATGCTCGTTAGGGATTTCATCTTAAATAATTCAGTTATGACATGATAATTTTTTCAAAAAGTGGTCATGTCGGTTTCTTAATATTTTGGATAGAGTGTTCAGGTAACCTTTAGCTTTAGTACAGGGTTTTAAAGTGCCAGTGTACCGCCTGGTCTACTTACCTTCCACCTCAAAGCCGCATCTATCAAATAATTGTTTTTATTCTCTACTTCCCCACACTCTTGGAGAAGTATACAATGGTATAAGTTGAGCCATTACAAAAAAAATTTTTATTGTATTTTATTTAACTGTATGTTTACCTTCAGTGATAGAGCTAGAGATATTTTTCTGTTTTGGTAGCAGCAGTGAAATAGGTAAGTGGGAGTTTAGGGTCTAGCTTCACACTTTGACTTTTTTTTTTTTAATCTTTCATTAGTAAGTTAAGCCAGCTAAGATAAACATGTTTGCCCTTATTTAGACAAGTATTTTCTAGGTTCTAGCAAGTCTCAAACTATTTTATGGGAATTTATAAATAGATAATATCTGCCAGTTTGCATATTTACCACTGGTTATATTGTATTAAAGTATAATAGAATTGTTAATTTTTTTCCCATCAATTGAGTTAAAAAGACACTATAGTCACCAGACTATTGTTGTTCTGTTAAGTATAGTCAGTCCCTGCAGGCGTTTTCATGTAAACACTGCGTTTCATGTAAACACTGACAGGGAACAGGCAGTGTTTACATTGCAGCCTAGGCAAACCTCAAGTGACCACTGCTCAAATGACTACTACAGGTGTTCCTGGGTCAGTACCAGGCTTCAGAGATGCTGAACTTTCCCTATAGAGATGCATTGTTGAGCTCCACCACCCAACCCACCTCCTTAGCTTCAATTCTGATGATCTCAGCCAATCCAATGTTTCCCTATGATTGGGGGAGGAGCCAGCACCTGTGGACAAGTACAACTTTGGCAATAAGGTGAGATTTTACTAGCTTTAAAGGAGGCGGGGGGGGGGGATAGTTAGTTTAACACTATAGGGTCAGGAATATACATTTATGTTCCTGACCCTATAGTATTCCTTCTTTAAATTCCTAGTTGATATTTCTTTAGTGGAAGCCATTAACTTGAATTTCTTATAAAATTGGGACAGGCATTTTAGGACTTGTTGAAGTGACTGTATTGTCTAAATCAGAAGTTATGGAGAACTAGCATTGTAACAGCAAAATGCCAGAATTGGAACATTTTCTAATTTAGTTATTTTCTATCTAGTAAAATGTTTTAGTTCCCTGGCCAGTTCCCAATAATTCCTGCTTTAGTGAATAACTAAAAGAAAGAAATGCTTTGTTTCTTAGTAGACAGATATTGAGCAGACCACTGCATATACATTTATAAAGTAAAGTGAAAAGGAACAAACTTCTAAAGATGGATATATTTTTACAAATGATTTCTATGTAGAGGCAAAGTAATCAAA